TTGTACCTGTCTTAACGTTCGGCCATACACAACAGTCTGTCTAGTGAGCAAATTTCAAATACTTAGACAAATTTGAACAAAAACAAAAAATTTGATTAAAATGAGCCGGCCATAAAAGACCAGCAGAATATTCAAAACCCCGGCCCCCTGGCCGGGTAATTACAAAGCAAACGGCACGCAGGCCGTGAAAAGAAAAAATATACTTAAAGCTTAAGAAGGGGGCAGTTCAGTATCAGCAGCAGCCGCCTGGTCAGCACTCTTCTTGCTGGACTCGGCCTTAGCTGCATCATCTTTTGATGCCTTACCCCCAAGTGGCACAAGCGCCACAACCGGCTCTTCCTCCTCCAACGCAACGTCCATCGCCTCTTCTTCAGCAGCCGCCAGGATCTGTTGATTATATATTTCCGAACACTGGCGGTACGTTCTTTCCCATGAGGCAAAGTCGGCACTGGGGAACAGTCGTTCCCAGGTCATGCGTTGGATTTGGGCGGAGTCTTCCACCATCTCCCGGACGAGCTCTTGTTTCTCTTGCTCGGCCTTGTCCGAGAGCTCTTGGGTAAGACTCTTCTCCTGGTTCACCAGGCGTTCTTTTACGTTAGCCAAAGATTTCTCCATGGCTTCGTAAGAGTGCATTTTCTGACGAAGGGGCTTCAGCTCGGCTTTAAGTTTGGTGACGGTCCCCTCCAGCTCGTCAACCTTCTTTTGGGCCGCCTCTAGCTGAGCCCGAACAGCGGCGGTCGCCTGCGCCTGATAATAAAGAAGATCAATGGTCAGTACTTCATTTTGGGCAATTTGAAACATTGCTTTATCACAGCTGGAGGCGGCCATAGCCTTTGCGGCCTTTACCTCTTTGTTTTTCCGATCAATCGGCTTGCGAAGGCTGTTGACTCGGAGCAGGGCCTAAGTACAAAGAAAAACAGGCGTCAGTTTCCAATCATAAGGGTTAACAGGCGTCCTGGAACTTCAAAAGGGTATACCTCAGCTAGGATCCCCGAAATTCCATCGAGGTCAAGGGTGCCGGCACCCTTGACCGCCTCCCTGTCAGAGGGAGGAATTACTTTAACCATTGACTTGGCTACCTCAACCAAGTCAAGTCCCTGGGGGCCGGCTGCATTAAGCAGAAGGAAAAACAAGTTAGACCTAATCAAGAAGGAAGCAAGAGTGAGTTTTTACAAGCAAGGGTCCATACATCTAGGCGGCCCCGCTTGGGTTTTTGAAGAAGTGGCCGGCTGCTTCTCAGCCGCCACTGTTTTCCTGGAAGACCCAGGAGAGCTTGCAACAGTCGTCCTCCGGGCCTTGGGGTCCGGCTGTTGCGAGGAAGAAGCCCTTGGAGTGCCAGACTGAAAACAAAAAGAGTTAGTATATGCATAATACAACTAAAAGGAGAAGAGTTTTCAAAGCTTACCAAGGGTGCCTCCTTGCTGGGGGAGTCGGCATACGACTGCTTCATTAGCGAGACCCGCAGCATGGCCGCCGCAGTCTTAGATGCTGTTATTTTACTCATGGCGTCGGCTGAAAGAAATAAACAGCAAAGTTAGTAAAAATCCCAAGTAAACAAGGCGTGAAAAAACAGAGTATTCGTCAGGCCGGCTACCTCTAGAGCACCGACTGCCGAGGCCACAGGCGGCCAAGAAGTACTCATCATAGAGCCACTTGAAGCTCGGGACGCAGTGTAGGGGTACTTGCTCTCGTACCCCTGAAGTAGAGTTCACCCTAGTCTCTACTTTGAAGAGTCCTTTGTCTAGGATCTCTCTTTTAGCCTTTGGGGGAACAGGCGGCATGCTGCGGCCGCCTGCAAGAAGAGGCGGATCCCTGTTCCACTTGTTAAATCGTTTGTTCAGCTCCGTGTCTGAACTCTCGATAATAAGGAAGGTGTTCCGCCAATCCTTCCATTTGTTTGCCTTACCTCTCGTCATGAGGTAACCCCTGTGGCTTGTTAGTTGATACCAGCCGGTACCTCCCGACTTAGGGGTCCGGCTGAGATAGTTCATGTGGGCGAAAGCCTCAAAACTTGGCTCCACCCCGTTCAGTTCGCACCCGGCCACATAGCCGAGTACGTTTACCCAAGAGTTGGGGGCTAACTGCCATAACCCCAGATCATACCCATCTAAAATCCGCTGAACAGCCGGATGTAATGGGAAGCGCAGACCAGCTTTGATGGCCGCCACATAGCAGCCAAAACAGCCGTCACCATAGCTGGTACCAGCCGGCCAGACGACAGTATCTTCTGGATCCGGCACAAACAGTAAATACTCCGGGCTCATTTTGTGGTTAGCAATAAAGCTCGCCACGTTGTCTCGCATGGTTGCGATCCGGCCCCGGGGCACCCTGCAGTAGTAGGGGGTGTTTTCCTCTCTGTAAGAGGCGGACGGCTCTGCCCAATTATCCCCCTTCTCCACTGCATGGGAACTTCTCGCCTCTTGTAGGCGGTTATGTTTTTCTTCTGAGTCAGAAGAACTATGGTCAGAAGAACTATGGTCAGAAGAGCTGGAATCGGACTCGTCCCCTGACGAGTCCGAAGAGGACGACTCCTCCCCTCTCCTAGAGGGGCCCGCCTCCTCTCCCTTAGAAGGAGCAGAAGGTAAATTAGACATGTCCACGGTTAGATGAGAAGGGAACACCTTGGTCCCTCTCTCAGAACTGTCAGCTTGACAGTCGCCTCGTTCCACATCTGGCGCCTGGTCAGATGTTTCGCTAAGGAGTACCCTTTGGGAGGAGCCGTCTGAGTTTGATATTCTAGCAGTCTTTTTTGTTCTGGCCATCACGTTCTGCATAGACACAGATTCAGTCGGACTTTGTATAAAGGGCAAAGATGGGTCCAGAAAAGGGCAGGCGGCACTCCTAGTCCTAGATTCAGCCGTCCCCGGTGACCGGCTGATCACTAACTTAGGGCGTGTCGTGTGCTTCCATGGTGCCATTTCAAAAAATAAAAAGAAAATTAAGAGTAAGAGAACTGAGTTACCTGAACGGATGACAGTTGATGAAGTCCTGAAAGTTCGGGTCAGTCGGCTTGTCAGAACAGGCGGTAGGCAGAAAAAGTCCGAAAATGTCAGAGCAAGTTCAGGGGTCCGAATGTTCTCGCAAAAATTCTCAAATGTGAAAATGACCGAAGTCAGCACTTCCTTTTATAGGCAAAATGAGAAGGCGAAGGGTCGCCTCCGAATTCAAATTTGGGCGGGAGAGTCTCCCGGCCGTCTGCAAGGTGACACCTGTAACGGGCCGTCGCCTGTCACCGTGCGACACCTGTCACAGGCGACACGTGACCAGTCGCGTGCCACCTGTGAGGGGCAAATGATTAGGGGATTTTTATCCACCAAGCGCCGTTTGACAAGTGGACCAACCAGGTTCCGCCACGCGTCCTCCACGGACCACTTAAGACACGCCACGTGTCCACCCATGCCAAATGGGACAACCGGCCATCAAGGCCCATTTCAGTCTAGAAGCCCGTTCGGCCCTAGGTTTACCTTAAACCTAGAGAGTTGCACGCTTCCCAAGGCTATAAATACTCGATTAATCCTCATTAATCAAGGGACCGAATACATTACGGAACACACTAATAACCGGCTGATCTCGCTAGCAAAGCAGATTACCTACATTAAATACTCTCACCTAGAGAGACCTTATTACTTTAATTTCTGTATTAATTACTCCTTAATCAGGTACTAACTTGACCGTTGGAGGCGGAGCTCTCAGGAGTCTCCGTTATTTTGCAGGTACAGGCGTCCGGTTCCAGTCTCGGAATTGTAGCTCTCCCGCAGGACATCAGAAAACCCCGAAACACTTATGTTTTGAGCTATAGCTTCACCCTGCGCTCAGAGAGACAAATCATTTCATCCTCATTACCACAGGTTTAGTCAATATAAACTTAAAATAAACTAGTAGTTGTCTACTCACCTGACCAAGTTCCTCAGATTTGAGATCAGCATAAGCTCTTGGTGTGTCAATAAGTGTAATTACGAGAAAACCATGATGATCGCCATACTTCAATTTTCTGTCTCCTTCACATGTAGAAATCTGTTTAATATTTGCAATGGAAGCCTCTTTATAAAGCCTTAAAAGTACTAAACATAAAGAAAATATAATCCAAGAAATTATACAATTTCACCAAGTTCAGCTTGCTAGTTCCCAAAAATGTAACCCTATTTCTCATCTTTACTCTGCATCAAAATGCAAGGCAGTACAATCACAAGAAACAGATGCTAAACTACTCGAATTCCCCCATGAATCCTTGACAACAAACCGACCAAGCAAAAGGCACAATGAAGAGCTCAAGATTGCTCTAATCCCCCAATTTTACATAAATTCAAGGGTCACAAACTCACAATACATGACACATAAAATCTAAAAAACAATTAAATGCTTGAATCGACAAAATTCGCATGCTATTCAACAAATTTCGAATCCAAACAACAATTTATATTTCATAACAAAAACATTCGAGCAATTAACTAGAAATAAACCCTAGATTGTGAAATTGATAGTCGATAATTTAAGAAATACTACCTGAGAAGCCGCTTCAATGGAGAAGAAAGCTCAAACTCGCTTCAATGGAGGATCGAGAAAGCTCAAAACTCGCTTCAATGGGATGAATATTCAGCGACGAAAATGATTAACTCACATAATTGATTGTTGAAACGCAAAACTCACTTTTCAGGTTTAATTTTGAAGCTAAAGACGAAATTGATGAAGATTGAAGCAAATTATTGATGAAGATTGAAGCAAATTCCTCTGAAATTTGATGATTTTTTGGGAGAAGGATAGAGAACCAGTGAGATCGTGAGATTGAAGAAAGATAAAAATAGAGCAGAGAGAATGGACGGTCAAGATTACAAATAACGCGAATGTAATCTAATCCGTCAGATGAAAATTCAATGGTCTAGATCATCTGTTTTCAGTTTTCAACTTTAAGTTTGTTTTCACATGATCCAATCTATATATATATATATATATATATATATATATATATATATATATATATATATATATATATATATATATATATATACACCAAACTGCATTAAGTGTGAATTATTTGTTGATTATTGATAACATAGCAAATGGCAGATGTGAAACACTCCAAAGGCATCACCGCTGGAAAGCCTCTTCATTGCAAAGGTATGTTATTTAATGTATCGTCTTTAATCTAATACTCCCTCTGTAGTCTGTTCACCAAGCAACGCTTGGCTCACATGGTACGGCATCTTACCTCGACTTTCAGGGTTCGAATTTTACAAGTGAGGGTGCTTTGGTTGAGGATCTTTTCACCTTTCTAGTTTTCTCGCAAATACTGGATCAAAAAAACCATGATTAGGGTCCTTCACCTTGCCGTAAACAGAAAAAATAAAATAAAAAAGGATACACCCTATGTTTGAATTAAGTTGTCATATAAGGAGTACTATAATAAAGTATAAATGTGATTAATTATTATGGTTAGAGCGTGTACAGCTTATGCGCCAGTGTCTAAACAATTAAAATGATGCAGCTGCTATTGCTAGAGAAGCAGGACAACCATTGGTGATAGAGGAGGTGATAGTGGCTCCACCAAAAGCCCATGAAGTTCGGATCAAGGTCATTTGCTCATCACTCTGTCATACCGACATCACCATCTGGAAATTAAAAGTATGTAAGATCCCAGAAATTAATTGCACATTTCATCTTTGATTTTAATTGCATAGTGTCTGGACTACCTCCTTTGTATTTGATCTAAGATAATTTTGTTGTGTTTTCTTTTACAGGATTTTCCTGGATGCTATCCAAGAATCTTTGGCCATGAGGCTGTTGGGTAAATAATTGTAGCAATAACTTTTCAGTATTTTTTTTCTAATAATACTGGCTAAATAATGTTGGGTAAATAATTGGTTACTCTATTAAACTTAATAAAATTTGGATCAATTCTGGCTTATATGTCGTTGGATAATCTTTTTTTTTTTAATGCTATCATCTTTGGCTAATAATTGTTGTACACTTGACTATTTGAGCCTTGACACATACTCGTGTTAAATGACACAGACGGAGTAATGTTTGAGATAGAATTGATCCATGGTTTAAGTCCAGCACTAAGCATCAATTGGACTAGTATAAAACGAAATGCTTTATTTTGATATTTTCAGCATACATTTTGGTAGTTAATTATTATGTACAGATTACATAATACGAAGTATGGTATAAGAAAGTAAAGTAAAAGAATGAATGTAGGAATGAATAACGAATGGAGTAAGAAATATGGAAACAGATCGAAACATTGATAAATTGAAGGCGCAACATTGGTCATTTGTCATGGTGTGAATTTGTTTATGTAGCAACAAAGGACTAATTAACGTACTATTCGTCTATAGGATCGTAGAAAGTGTAGGAGAGGAAGTAGATGAAGTGGTGGAAGGCGATTATGTGCTACCAGTTCTCATAGCAGATTGTGGGGATTGCAAAGATTGCAAGTCTAGCGAGAGCAATTTGTGTTCGAAGCTGCCAGTTAAGATCTCTCCGTGGATGCCTAGGGAAGATAGCAGCAGATTCACTGATTTGAACGGGGAAACTCTGTTTCATTTCGCGTTTGTTTCAAGCTTTAGCCAATATACTGTTGTCGACGTTGCTCATCTCACTAAGATTGACCCATCCATTCCTCCCAATAGGGCATGTCTTCTAAGCTGTGGGGTTTCCACTGGTAATATCTCTATTCTTATGCCGTATTCTTTGCCTCATATATACTTATTACCTATGTATGTATGTATGTATGTATAACATTACGTTTTGTGTTACATATATAAGATCATTCTAAACTAGTTTAGCTTGATTAATGTTGTTTGTTCTAGGGATTGGTGCTGCTTGGCGAGCTGCCAATGTCAAACCAGGATCAACAGTTGCTATATTCGGCATTGGAGCCATTGGACTAGGGGTACATCATTGCTTCATGTTATGCTAGATTTGTGTAGCGACTTTGGTTAATTTGTGTGCTTTGTGTAGCGACTTTGGTTAATTTGTTGCATTTCTGTTACTGATAATGAACAATAACGGCACATGTATGCTATTTTTGGGCGTCAAGGTGGCTGAGGGAGCAAGGCTTAGTGGAGCAGCGAGGATAATAGCAGTAGATATAAAGCCAGAAAAATTCGAATTTGGTATAATTCAGTAATTTAATCTCGATCAAGTCTACTTTGTTTTCCATCCCATGACATAGATTTTGTAGCTATTATGATTTAGATTATCCTTTTTTTATGTTGTTTCAGGTAAAAAGTTTGGCGTTACAGACTTTATCAACCCGAACACTAGTGAGGATAATAAGACTGTTAGCCAGGTCTTGGTTCTTTCCTTTATCTAACACAGCCAACTTTGGGAATGCAATACACAAGTAGTTATTCTTGGCATTTTGCCGTTGCTTAAACCTTGATCTAATGGTTGGCTTTCATTTATCGAGCAGATTATATGCGAGATGACAGATGGAGGTGCAGATTATTGTTTCGAATGCGTAGGAAATGCATCTTTGGTACAAGAAGCTTATGCTTCATGCCGAAAGGTCTTTCCTCATCCATTTCCTTCTTTCTTACCCTTAACATAACAAGTTCAACTTAGTATGTATGTTCATATTATTGTACATGGATCAGCTATGGCACGAATCATTCTATATATACTCAAAATGTGATTTTTGCATTGTGATTTCGAGGAATCGAAGAAGAGATGTTTGAAAATACACACATTGTATATATTTAAATCGTATTGCTTATCAATTATATATTTATATGTTTCAGGGTTGGGGAAAAACAATTGTGCTAGGATTGGACAATAAGCTAGATGCACAATTGAGCTTCCTTTCTATGGATGTGCTGCTTAGCGGTAAAACTATAAAAGGATCAGTATTTGGAGATCTTAAGCCAAAATCTGATGTTCCTATCCTTGTAAAACGTTATTTGGACAAGGTAAGTCTTTAAAGTAGAACTCCAATTAAACAATTGTTGGTATTTGCATGTTACCATTTGGTATTTGCTTCATACTTTTGTGAAATTATAATAAGGTAATAATAATATATGAAATCTTTGCTCCTCTGTACCACATATAGCAGAAATAGCACAATAGCTATGTCAATAACCAAGCAAAGCTTAGCTTGGTGGACTTGGGGGAGAACTCACCTTATGATTTTGAGGTCACAGGTTCAAACCCCACTAACTACAAAAATGTTTGGGTGTAGGGGGATTCCCTTAGCTCCCCCCCCCCTATACTCTCGGTGTTCAGTAGGGTCCTTAATCACTACTCCAATCACTCCAGTGTTTAGTTCAGGTCGGTTCAGTAAATGTAAACAGACCCTTAGTTCACATCAATTTATTGTGAACTACTATTATTAGGGACACTTTGGCTGCTATATTAATTATAAAAAAAAAAGTCGCAATGATAAATCATCGTAACAGTATAAAGATCATAAGAGTTTTTTTTAAAATGAATATGTTTTATACTGGTCAATATGAATAATAAAAGTCACTATTTTTCACAATGCGTCGATTGACATATATGTACTTCAGCTTCACAATAATATTAAAGGTCACACGAGTTTAAATAAAGGCTACTATGTTAAAATTAGGGTCACTATGTTCATTATAACGTTATTTACGTACGTATAGGTCCAAAATGATATTACTGTGAACCAGGGCTATAAAAGTTTTTGCTTTGGTTAAAGAGGTTCAAATAGATTAATTAGGCCTCATGTAAGAGGTTAGAAGTCATAATACAAGAAGTGTTATGCGGCATAAGGAGCCCATTAGAGTTACAAGTTAACATATAAGGTTAGTTCAGATATTAAGTCTGCAAGTCTACTCCATCATACTAGTACTATTACAATCACTTAAGGGATTTGATGCTAGATTATTCCAAAACACGTCACTTTCTTTAGGTACCAGACCAGCTTTGTGTGCCATGAGATGGGGTTGGTGGAGTGGTGGACTACCTCTAGTGGGAGACACTGAAAATTCTTCATTTGCCTCCCATTAAACAAGTTAAAATGTTTTTCAATGATCACATTTTTTTTGAGTGCTAGTAATGTCATTCACAACAGTCCTAGAATAAGTGATTATGGTGAAATCTTCCCACTTTTTCAAGCTAGCCCAAGCCATTGTTACCAAGACAGATAAGTACTCTGCAAAATTTGCATCTTCCATTGTTGATTTCATGATAAAACCCCCTTGCCACTCTTGAGAAGAAGTGTAGAAGTTGGCAGCTAAGCTATTCCCACAGCTAGTGAAAAAAGGTTGAAAGCTACATTTACTCTGATTTGGAATGGAGTATTATGGAAAGGATGGGAAAGCTTAGTTTAGTGGGTCACTAGGAATTGGAAACAGGTTGGGCACTCTGAAGAGCAATGTAAATCGAACACAGGCCATACCTCCTTTCTTTATTTGATACTTTTAGATAGAAAGGAAGGGAAGAAATTTGGAAGGATTTATTTTCCCTTGCTCTTTAATAAACCAAATCCTTCCTATGTTGGAATGATTTAGAGAGAAAATGTAACCTTACCTTAGCTTCTCCCTCCCTCCTTCCTTGTTCACCCCTCCCTTCCTTTCACTTAAGTGTTAAACTAATTAAGCTTGCAGATCATCCGTGTTAGCATATGTGTAAAATATTATTGAATTAATCAAGAAACAAATTATATGTACACATCGACTAATACAAAGATATTTATATGTGTTTCTACTACTATCTCCGTTAATTTTTACTTGCAACAAAGAAATTTTTTAGGAAATTTTGCGAATAACTACCGCAAAAGTTCCAAACTTTTGCGAACAACTACTTTTTTTTTTGCGAACAACTACCACAAACTTTGTATTTGTTTTGTTAACACTACCAGTTAACGATTGACGTTTCCTTGCTGTACGTGGAGCCCACCCTAATTCGTTCAATACACAAATAAATGAACAATTAACCAAAAATCATAAGATTAAGAAAATGACCAAATATTACCTGTTTTTTCAATCCTAATAGCATGAATTTGATCTCTAGGTGAGCAATTTCACCTATGCCCTAAAATTTTTCGAAGACAAACATTCAAAGAAACAAAGAGTATCTAATTAGGGAGAAGATCGTTAATATAAAGGAGAGATAGTTGGAGGGAAAAGGACGAAAGGTAGGCCCCACATACGGCAAGCAAACGTCCCTCGTTAACTGGTAGTGGTAACAAAACAAATACAAAGTTTGTGGTGGTTGTTCGCAAAAAAAAAAAAATAAATAAATAAATAAAATAAAAATAAAATAAAGGTAGTTGTTTGCAAAAGTTGGAACTTTCGCAGTAGTAGTTCGCAAAATTTTAAATTTTTCATATTTCACAAATAATACCTATTTATTGCAATTAAAAAGTAACAGAGGTAGATTAATATTCTAATTTTTTGCCCTACTTATTTCTTGCAGGAAATTCGACTTGATGACTTTGTGTCACATGAGATAAAATTGGATGAGATTAATAAAGCATTTGAATTGCTTATGGAAGGAAAATGTCTTCGATGTGTAATATGGATGGATTAAGAAGTTTTTTATCCACTATTGTGATTTATGACAAACTCAAATAATGTAATAATGACATTAGACAATTTTCTATGTTCACATAATAAATAATAAATAAATAAATAAGACCTTTACACTTTATTTGGATAGTAAATAATGATGGAAAGGAAGGGGTGGGAAATAGGAGGAAGGGAGGGAAGGTCGTGAACTCCATTTTCCCTCCAAATCTCTCCAATTTTAAAGGGATTATGCTTATTAATTGGAGGGAAATAGTTGTATTTATCACAGAGTTAAACAAAAAATTTTAACCAAGAGATAATTTTGTATAAATCAACAACTTTTTAACTAAATGTGTTTTTCACATACCAAAACTGTTGATTTTGGGACGAAGTAAGAAAATTTAACTAGCTACAATATCGAGGAGGAAGTAGTAAGGGAGGTTAGTTATGTATATAGAAATACATAACATGGCAACTTTTGTAATAAAATGCAACTCTTGATGTAGCGGGGTGAGGAATTGGAGGGAAAATATAATTGTATAGTAAAATTTGGTAACGGCATGGGACCCACAGCTGAATAAAAAAACAATTGGGAAAATGGTGGGGCAATACTTAAAATTGTAATATTTTATCTTTTCTCATTTCTTTCTTAGCCTTGTATTACTCTCCTCTCTCCTCAATATACTCGTATACACTCAATTGAAGCAACTTTATTTTTGTTCAATGCATGTCTACATTATTATTTATTGTTTCATAGGGATTAAATTCAAAGCTTTTTGTTTTTAGACGCCAACACGTTATTTAAATTTTTATAATTGAGTTTGTCTATCATTTATCTTCCTTAGATTGACACTAAAATTATGATAAACCCTTGTAGTACATTTTTTTGATGAGTATTTATTTTTGGAGGTATAGCCTTAATAATGTATAAAAATATTTCTTATTAACTCTTATAGTACTATGTATATGATAATTTAGTACTACGTCTACATATGATAATTTATCTTCAGTTTTGCAGTATGATGTTATTTTGGTTTTTAGCTATGATTAAAGCTAAACCAATTATGTCAGTAGAGCTTTGAAGACATATCATGGTTTTTTCATTTGTTACTAAACGAAATCTCTCATACTTTTGCATTGGGGATTGCCTAGCTATAATGTTGACAACTTTATTTTAAGCTAAAAGAAATTAAATGTCTTATACTTGCTATGTTTTTTTTAGTTGACACCGTTGGACTTTTACACTATTCTCACAACACGCTTTGACTCGCTTTTGTGGTTTATGGATACAATAAAACATATTCATGTGGGATCTTGTTTGAATCGTCTATATGTATATTTTATTAATTTTCCACTTTTTATAATTTTATAATATTGATAATTAAAGTTATTAAGTGTTAAAAACATGCGTTCGCAAGCGTGATAATAGAAATGTGTCAACTAAAAAAAAAGTATTTTTTTTTTCATTTGTTATTGCTAAAAGAAATTTCTCATGCTTTTTCATTAGAGATTGCCTAGTTGTTTGTTTATCTTTTTTTATTTATCTTTTTTGTTTATCATTTTTTTTCGCATTAGAAATCTCTCATTTGTTTATCATTTTTTAAAAAAGATTATCTAAAATGACTTGAAAAGTTTCAAAAAATAACATTTTGACTTACAAAATTAATAAAATCAACTTTAACTTCCTTGAAATATGTAGCAATTTATTGTTAATGAATGGTGATGATGATTGAGAATATGCTTGATAATAAAATATACTTGTGTCGTTATGCGTATCATCAATCATCACACAAGTACCATTGATAGCTTCAAATTAAGTTTACATGGAGCTCCTAACCCTATCAAGTCATCTTACATATCTCATCATACAGTCACATTAAATATGGATTGTTATTAATCTTATTATATACTTCGTACAAGAGAACTAATTAAGATCTTGTTTCAATAAAACCGCAAATACTACCATACATAATCCATGATCATCTAACTAGCTTAGCATTCATATGTTTACAACAGTGGGGGCAATGTACATATCACCTTTTTTTTATTTCATTTTTGCATATAATGTTTTAAAATCTTCACATACATATGCTTTCACTGAGTCAAAAATATGTACAATTGTATACCACAAGGGTTTCGTTAAAAGTCTTCAGGGTACTACTGTACTAGAAACATCTTTATAATGTTAAACTGTATAATAAAAGGGTTTCGCTAAAGGTTCCAAAGGTACTACTACCAGGGTGTCAAGGGTATGTGTTTGCATATATTGTTTAAAAGCTTCACGTGCATATGCTTTCACTGAGTTAAAAAAAATGGACAACTATATAATACAAGGGTTTCGTTGGAGGTCTCTAAGGTAGTACTAGAAAACATCTTTATAATGTTCAATCGTATTGTTTCACTAAGAGTACAAGGATAGATACCAGTGAACCCTCTATGGATACCATTAAAGGGTCGTATGTACTACGATTAAAAATTCTTAGGGTTCATTTGAAATACATTAGGGTACCATTGTATTTATATTAATCCTAAAACACAATCATTGGTTTAACATTTATACACTACGTGAAAATATGAAATTGGCACTGGTTCAAAACCCCTCAATGCCACCGGTTTTGAACCAGTGCCAATATGGGGGGTGCCATTTACTTAGAAGAAAAGCCACCGGTTCAAACCGGTGGCAAAAATGGTTATTGGCACCGGTTAACCAGTGCCAAAAATGACCCAAAAAAATTATTCATTGTTTTTGGCACCGGTTACCGGTGCCAAAAATGCCCAAAAACATAAAAAAAATTTCACTTTAAAATTAAATAAACTAAAATTAATAAGAACAATAGAACATCAATATATAATTCGAATATCAGTCAATTTAATCGAAAATTTTACAATATGTAATAAAAAAAATACAATATAGATCAATTACAACACATAAATAAATAAATACAATATAAATAAAAAAATTACAATATAAATAAAATAATTACAATATAAATCAAAAAAAATTTACAACATCAAAAAAAAAAACCTGCTCTTGATTCTTCGAATAATTAAGATGTAAATCAATATACGTACCTGCATCAATTTTTTAAAAATTCCACTAAAATAAATAAGCTGCAAAAAAAACAGACTATGCATGTACCCAGAACTCAAAAAGCTGGAAAAATAAAAAAAAAACCCACAAAAATAAAAACAAAACCAAGAAATTACGTTAAAAACCCAGTAAAAAAAATTCATTTTAGATCTCAGAAAAAAAAAAACCAAAATTAAAATCGAATTGAACCAAAAAGGAGATCGAATTAAACCCAGAAGGAATTAAAATCGAATTAAAATTAGAAAATCACAAAATCGATTAAAATCACAAAAAAAAACCAGAAATCGATTAAAATAACAAAGAATTTAAATCGATTAAAATAACAAAAAAATCGATACAAATAAAAAAAAACGAATAAAATAAGTTAAAAATCTAAAAAAAATCAAATTAAAATAAGTTAAAAAATAAAAAAAATAAAACAAACCAGAAAATCGAAATCAGTTAAAAATCCAGAAATACAATAAACGAATTAAAATCGATTAAAATAAAAATAATTCTTAAAAATCGATTAAAACAAAAAAAAACGATTAATATAATTAAGCTTTGAGAAAGAGAAAAAAAGAAATTCAAACCCAAAAATTCAATCCCAAAAATTCAAACCCAGAAAAAAATTGAAATCGAACAAAACCCAGAAAAAAATTGAAATCGAAAAAACCCACTCGAAAAAACCTTGAAATCGACAAAACCCAGATAAAGCCCAGAAAAATAATTGAAATCGAAAAAAAAAAATCAAAATCGAAAAACAAAAATCAAAATCGAAAAACAAAAATCAAAATCGAAAAAAAAAACAAAATCATAAAGAAAAAACCCAGAAATTGAAATCGAACGGTCTTGGTGTTGCATGTTGGTGGTCTTTAAACGAAAGAAAGAAAGAAAGGAGAAGGAGATGAGGGAGAAGGAGATCGAGAAAGAGAAATCTCAGGAGGAGAAAGAGATTGAGAACGAAAGAGAAGGAGAGGAGAGAGAAAGAGAAACGGCTGTGAGTTAGAGTTTGCTAGGGTTGGGGGTTATAAAGCTAAGGGCCGGTTTTTTTTTTTAAATAATGGCACCGGGTCAAACCGGTGGGCTTTATTTTTTGCCACCGGTTTGAAGTGAACCGGTGCCATATGTCTTGGTTCATTAAGCCCCCATTTTTAAGGCCATTTTTGCCACCGGTTTGGACTTAACCTGTGGCAATTAGGGGGTGCCTTTTTGATTTTTTCTACTAGTGATACATTAGGGTCTTATGTACTACGTATGTGGCAATGATCCAAACATTAATTCGTTTAAAAATCTATAAAGGTTTTGATTCTTTCAACAATAACAAGCAATTAGATAGTTAAGCGTATAAATTCACCTAACAAATTAGAAATAAGAAGTAAATAGGTAATGAACAAAATAAGTTATAAATATATCAAATGAACAAGATATGCTATTTAAATATGAAGCATTAAAATTGAAACCAAGATAACTATTAAATGATTATTATTGAAACCAAGTTTATACGAGTATTAAATCATGATTGGTTGTGAAAGTAACTTTGTTTGTATTGATCAATAGTGAATACTACAAAGGATACTACTCAATGTCTTTATAGTACCATTGAACCTTCTAAGCACTATAAGATTTATTAAGCGCTATGTTGAGGAAAATAACCGTAACCGGTGTTAAGCTTCAAAGGTTACTTCTCTGATCAAATGCTCTGTTTTTTAAAGAAAAAAATCACGACTCTATTTCATGTGCTTCATGGAATTCTCTCCCTTTATATAAGCTTCCTCTCTTTTAATATGCGCTTTCTCTCACCTCATCCTAATGGGCGTCAGATTTTCATAACAACCTGACAATATAATCGAATTACATAAATTAATGATTTTGATTTTTCGATCAAATTGGAGGTTGAACATCGCTATGAACACAACCAGTTATAAATTTCAATGTGAATCAAACAAAACATATGGTAGTAGAAAAAGATTGTCACAAAAGGGTGTGTGGTGCGTTTTTGTGGGCGAATAGAAGCCATTGATGGGATTCAGCCATTGATGTTATATACTTCCTCCGTTTTTCTTTTATTG